ACTTAATTAAACAATGACAATGTAAGTTTAACAGCAATCATATATTTCAAAGTAATAACTGAACATAAAGTTTATCTTAAAATTATAACAAGGTTTCTTCATAAACAACATTTGCAGTTTGTTTCCATCTACCAACAAATAAAGATTTTGAGGTGATCCCACCCTTGAACACCCTACATTTCATTGACCATGAGGAAAGCATGGTTGTTTGAGAAACAATCCAGCAACTTTCAGTCAGTTACTTTGAATCCCTTGAGAATATTCAACATTGTCTAAAGCATCAACCTGCCAAGATTGTTTGAGATTGACTCAATAGGCTGGGAGTAATTAACCAACAGGCTTTACAAAATAGAAATAGGGTTAAGTTCAATTTTAACTACCTTAGGATATTCCTATACTTTAAGTGTTTACAAACAAATGTCAGTTGAGATTGACCCAATAGGCTCAGAGAAGTTAGTGTGCAAACACACATTTAGTCTTCTATATAGATACACACACAAAATATGTAAAAATTAAAAAAATTAGGCTGTGGCCCAATACATAGATTTTATTGGTTCAATTGAATAGTCAGTCATTTTCGAATTTTATTAGTAGGTTGCAATTCAAAGACTCACCTATAAGCAGAAATTGGATGGGGAATTTAGGGTCAAAAATTAATAAAAAACCTTGGCCAATACTAGTACTTAATACAGGTTTTAGGTTATTTGATTCTATTTGACCAATTAACTCTCTCAATACTGGCTCGGTCAATTTGAATAACCACATGATCTCTTTGTACTCGTTCAAAGTATGGATTCTATATTACTAACTTTTAATAGTGTTTATATTTTCACAAAATTTGGCAGTCTTTCACATACAAAAAAATTATTTTTTATTGAAGCATTTTTTAATAAATTAAAAACGATTTGTCTGTGAATATACTGAGTATTTGTTTTAAATAGTCCGTGTGATAAATGATTTATGTTAAGATTAAAAATACTCCTAAATACATTTCAAATGTTTGTTCTAGTAAAACTTTTTATATATATATATATATTTTTTTTTATATTTTCTCTATACAAAGTTGGTCAATTTGAGAAGAAAAACCTTTCTATCTAGAATGACTTCAAATGTAACATGAAACTACATTTATTTATCCTAAGTGGCTTTAAACTCATACATCTATTTATAATTAAATTTTATTGCCCTTAGAAAAATGTCTTACTACTATTTGCGCCATTATAAGTTGTAAATTACTTGAGGAACATGTAGCTCATATTACGTTATGGAATTACATTACCCAGAAGCTACTCTGAGCTGCTTGCTTGCATGCCTCGTGAATTATTTTTATTATATCACCATTGCTATTTACTTAATCCAACCTTTAACTAACCTAAAAGGATTCCTATTTTTACATTTTAGTTAAGTTTATAATAATAAAGAATAAACATGAAAAAAAATAATAATCAAAGTACTTACCCGTGTATTCTATTTTTTGCTGTTGACTGTCAATGACACTTCACCCTATTTTTTTTATACTAATGGTAGTAATGCACAAAATAGTTATCTAATTAAATACTGCAAAGAATATAGAATAATAACATTAAAAAAGCAGATGTTACGCCTCCGTTCGTTAATTGATTTTCCGTAAATTCGTTCCGATGAAACTTTAGTGAAACAAGTCTTCTTAAATAAAACTGGTTTATTCTTTCCGATTACAACTTTATGATACACTCAACTTCAACAGTCGCTCTGTAACAAACGCTATAATTCTCACGTGCTCGTCAATACTCAGTTCAATTACTCACTACTACACATTGTCCCGTCACGTTGTGACCATCTTATATATACCAGGCTACCCAATATCTAGTAAATGCTAGGGCATTCCCGAAGGAACAGGATATTTCTAAAAAACAGGTGGCGTGATACTAGTCACGTGACCTCGCTGACGCAACACTGCCCCCTCCTTAGTATTGTTCGTCCCGAACAATAGCCACTTACAATAAACCAATAACAATAACTTAGTTAAATGTACAGAATTACAATCTCAAAATTACAATTCAACAAAGTCTCTTAATTTTATGGGACGTATCTTCTTCCATACTGGTCTCCGTCTCGTTGGCTTCTACTTCACGTGGGGTTCATCTGCATCATCAGGAAATGTCCTATCATCA